TATGTGGTCATATGTGGAAAGCACAGCTAATATACTCATCTGAGGAAAAGAAAGCTTTCTAAGATTAGGAACAAGATAAGGAATCCCACTCTTACCACTTTCATTCAACATAGTATTGGAAGTCCTAACTATAGCAATTAGGCAAGCAAAAGAAATACAAGGCAGTCAAATTGGAATGGAAGAAGTAAGACTGTTTCTATTTGCAGATGACATGATAGTATATGTAGAAAACCCTAAAGATTCTACCCAAAAACTATTAGAAATAATGAGTTTGTAAAGTCACAGGATGCAAAATTAACATCAGAAGTCAGTCGCATTTCTGTGTGCTAATAAGGAACCACTAGAAAGAGAAATTAAGAGAACAATCCCATTTACAATTGTATCAAAGAGAATAAAATATGAAGGAATAAATTTACCCAAGTAGGGGAAAGACCTGTACTCTGAAAACTAGAAAACATTGATGAAAGAAATTGAAGACCAAAACAAATAAATGGGAAGATAATCTGTGCTTATGGATTGAAAGAAGTAATAGTGTTAAAATGTCCATACTACTCAAGGTAATCTACAGATTCAGTACAGTCCCCATCAAAATAGCAATGGCATTTTTCAGAATTAGAGCAAAGAAGTCTAACATTTGTATGGAACCACAAAAGACCCCAAATAGCCAAAGCAAACTTGAGAAAGAGCATAACTGGAGGAATCATGTTCCCTGGTTATGAACTATACTACAAACCTGTAGTAATCAAACCAGTATGGTGCTGGCATGAAAACAGGCACAGAAATCAGTGGAATAGAATAGAGCACCCAGAACTTTACCCACATATATGTGATCAATTAACCTAATTCACTGCATTTTAAAAGGAATAAAAAGGAGAGAAATGTCAGATTGCTGGCTAAGGACAAGGATAAAATAAATGCATTGTCTTTAACTGTAGTGATTCCTGTTTTAATTAGATGGAAGCATGTCTACTTTAGACATTTATTTTGGTTTTCTTTATTAAGGATAGGACATATTCTGATAGCTCACAGTTTGTTTCATAGCATAAAAAAATAGTGGATGTCCACTTTTCTGATAGAATTTTATTTTTTCCTTGGAACTATGAATTTTTGTGGAGAAATACTTGACTGTAGAGCATATAAATGTTCATATGACACAAAGGCTATAGTTTGTTAATATTTTCAGATTTAACATGAATAGTTTTTATAGAAAGCAATTGTATAGAATTCTTGTTCTTAATTTTTAATTTTGCTGAGGCATATGCATTTGATTTGATGTGATATAAGGCTGGTATGTAGGAGTACTCTTAGTGTGTAAGCCTTACCTGATGTTTTGCACCCTTATCTCCATGCAACTCTTTTTGTGTTCTATATTTAGCATTGTGCAGTACTTCTGAAATTAATACAGACTTTTTCCTTTTATCATGGAAAAAAATAAAACAAAAGACTTCCCTCACTCCCCTAAGAGAAACCAGCTCTTATTTACTTCTGGTAGTATTAGGGAAGTTAGGGAGCTTTTCTGAGAAAGTAATGGTTCTTAGCTCCAGGGAAAATTTCTCCTTTCCTGGGTGGCAATTTTAAAGTTAATTAATAAGGGTCACCTAATACTTAAAGAAAATTCTTTCCTGTATTTTATTTAGTAATTATGTGTCAGTTTGAGGACTTGGGAATGTTTTATGCTCTATTCAACACCTAAATGTAAGAAGTCAGTTGTAGTAGCTTCACAACTATGGAAAAACAAGAATCATTGTGAAATTAAAAAAAAAATACTTTGAAATTGATTGGATTATTATCTGAAGTGTATTAATTTTTAAGTTTCATTTTATTAAGTACCTCAAGTGATTCTAATACTTCTGTCCAAACAAGAACCTCTGGTTCACTGTACTTTTTTAGGAGAACAAAAAACCCCCAAAACTATGATGTTTAATTTACAATTCTATGTGACTCATTATTATTTATATAATTAAATTTAATTGGATCTTAGGTTCTCCTAAAGTATTATGAAAATAAAGATATTATATTGGTGAACAATATAATATTGTTTGGAAAATAGATGATAATGATGAATGTTCATGTTTTTATACATATGTGTATATCAACTTTTTTTTTCTTTTTTAAAGTTACATAGTAAACTTCTGGAGACAGAGCGTCAACTTGGGGAAGCTCATGGCAGGCTGAAGGAACAGAGACAACTTTCAAGTGAAAAGTTGATGGATAAAGAACAGCAAGTAGCTGATTTACAACTCAAACTTTCTCGTTTAGAAGAACAGGTGAGGTAGCACTTCAAATGACTTTATTAGTAAATTTATTGCTAGATTTGAGGCATCTTATTAAATATTGGTTAAATCTTTTCATTGCCAAGAGCTTTCATTAGACATTGCTTTTTTTAATGCTGAATTGTGACATTTATTTTTCCCCAGTAAAAACACCCTTATTATTAACTACATTAATTCATTTTGCTGTGATTGTATTCCCTAAAGTTTTCCACAGAAATGTACAAAGAAGACTATTTTTTCAGCTTAGGCAGGAAAGATTCTGGGGTTGAACCTCTGTCAGGCTGCCAAAGGAGGGGTCTTCCTACCCAGGAAGGACAACTTTGTAATGAAACACTGAAAAATGAACAGTCGGTGAGGGGTCATTGGCATGAAGTTGGCACGTATAAATTTTCCATTTGCATTTAAGGATTTTCACTTTTAAAAATGAAGCATAAGATTGAATGCTTCCTAAATAAATGTGTGGTTGCCAAAAAGTAGAAACTGTTATTTGGTTAAAGTTATCATTAAATTATGTCTTTTACTACAATTGAAGAAACATTGAGAGTTAAAACTTGTAGCTTCAGCAACCAATTTTCTTCTAGACCTGAAATCTTAGATGCAGATGATCCTATTCTTTTCTAATAAGTGATAATTGTGATTGTTGTAGAATAAAACCCCACACATTTTGATACTATGGTTTAGATTACTGTAATGAAAACTTGTGTGTAATTCCTTGATCATATTAGTATGCAAAGAGCAATAATAAACTAAATGCCAACCTGTAGGAAGAATTGTATTCTTAGGATGAAGGTCCATACCTGGAAAATAGTTTCTATTAAAATTAAAATTCTCTAAGTAATGAGATATTGCTTTCAAAGTTGATTTACTTATTATCTGAGTTTAGTTTTCTCTTTAGACTTGAGAATTGTGAGATTTGACATAATGTCAGATATTTATGAATGATAGCACTAAGCCTTTAAGTTGTCAACTGACAGTCTGCGTTTTTTTTAAGTTGAAGGAAAAAGTAACAAATTTCACAGAATTGCAACATCAGTTAGATAAAACAAAGCAACAGCATCAAGAACAACAAGCTCTTCAGCAAAGCACTACAGCAAAACTTCGAGAAGCTCAGGTAAATGTTATTTGAATTATTAGCCTCTTAAACAAAAATTAACCAAATTATTATTCTTTATTGTGGTAAAAACTAGATAATGGAAATTACTTGGCTATGAAGGGTTTTGATAATTTTCAGCATCTGGAAAATCAGAAATCTTTTTCTTTTAAATGCTATGTTGAAAATTTTCTCTAAATTTTTAAAATTAGTTATTACAGATTTATTTAAATAAATTTATATAAAATAAACTTAAATTTCTTTATTAAGTAAGTGTATCTGTTTATTTAAAATATATTATTTACATTATTCATAAATAATAAATTATTGTTATTATCTTAAAAACACTTTATTTGAAAAACTAAAAAATGCAAATAAAATTTTTTGGTTTAGTTAGCCAAGTAAAAAAGAACATTTTGTGTTTCCTATAGTAGAACTTAGTGTTTGGTCATGTCTTTCCCTGCTTTGGAATTCTTATATAAACATTAGAATTACAGGTAAAGAAAATACAATGATTGGGTTAAACTTAGGCAGATTTTATAGCATAATTTAGAGGATTGAAAGAAATTAAATTTTTGTTTTATTACTGTGAAGGGAGAGAGTGCCCAAATGTTTGAAATGAATGACTTTAGCATTTGTTTATTCCTTCAATCTTTCATTAATTAATTAAATATTATAGAGTACTCTATGTCCAGGACTGTGGTAAGCACTGAAAGAAATAAGAGGTGAGAAAGATATAGTACCTACCTTTAGTAAATGGCAAATTAATTATGTGCCACAGAAACAATGTTGGAGTTTAAAGGAGACAGTAAGTAATACACCTTTCTTTCCCTTCTGAGTTTGGAGAGGGGCATGGGAGTCAGATAGAGATCAAAATACTGTTTTCATTTATTTGTTCTTTCATTCTGTCAGTCAACAAGTATCTATTAATGTCTATGTTTAGCCAAGGAAATAAATGATTTTGCAGATATGAAAGCAAAGAAAACTGGCAGAAAGGTCTGCTCTCATAGAACTTTGTGAGGGCTACAAGCAATAGCCAACGTATAGAGGCAAAATATATCATTGCTTAGATAACAGTAAGTGATATGGAGATGAAAAAAGGGATGGGGAGTAGAAACTATGTGGGGAGCTAGAGGTGGGACTGCAATGTTAGCGTTGCCAGAGAAGGCCTCTCTGAGAAGATAAAAGACCCAAAGGGTGCGTGTGAGCCATTGGATATGAAAGAAGAGCATCAGTGTTAAAAGGCCTTGAGGAAGGAGCATGTCTAAGGAGCGTCAGGAAGCCAGTGGTGGCAGTGGTGGGAGTGATGAGGAGGGTTAAAGCAGCAGTCTTAGTGACACAGAGGATCAGAACGTGTAGAGCCTCATCGGTAGTTTTAAGAATGTTACTGTGAGGTCAGTGGAGGGTTCTGAGTTGAGCAGTAGCATGATCTGATTTATAATTTCATAGGATTACTCTGGCTCCTGTATTGAGAGTAGACTATTGGGGCACATGAATAGAAGCAAAGAAATTAGCTGAAAGACTAGTACAGTAATCCAGACAAGAAATGTTGTGGCTTGGATCTGAGTGGAAACAGTGTAGGTAGTGAGAAATGGTCAGATTCTAGATATATTTTGAAGGTATAACTGACAGATTTATTGATAGATTGATGAGAGAGAAATCAAGGATGATTCCAAGGATTTTGGCCTGGGTAGTCTGAAGGATAGAAGTCAAATAAGATGAAGACTGAGAGTCCTATTGAATTTGGCAATATGGAAATCATTGATGACATTGATAAGAGCGATTTGGATAGAGAAGGAGGAACTAAAGCCTGAGGGAGAGAGTTTAAGAGAAAACAGAAGAGAGGTTGGATAAAATGAACATAGTTAACCCTAGAAGTTTTACTGTAAATAGTAGTAAAGAAATAGAATAGTAAAACTGAGGTAGAGAATTTGGCATAGGTCTGCAACTAAGTGGGTTTTCTTATACTGTACCCCAGAATTAAATTTATTCATTCAGTCACAGGCAAAGCTGAAAATGACAGCCTCTTACTTTCTTATAGGCAGGTTGTCTCTTAGACTGAGGGGAGAGCAAGGGGCTGAGTTAAACATGCTTAGTTCCTATTCCAAACTTTCCAATTAGTTAAATTCTCATTCCCTGGGGAGGAATAACAAAAGCATGGCAAAGAAGCCAGGTAAAGTCTCTCATTATGGAGACATGAAAAAGCCTTGAAAACTAATAAAACAGATGTATTAAATGAATACATCTAATAAAACTAATTAAACTGATTAAAGAGTATAGTTCTAGGTGCATATGTGTATATAAAATTATCATGTTGGCTTGGAGGACAGTTACCTAACTTCAGAATCTGGAAAAGAGCAGTCATTGAAAACTACTTAAAAGTGACAATCTGTGTTGCAAAGAATGCATAGATGTTTCTGGGCTGCAAAGATGGTGATAGTGAGAAGCATATCCAAGTATAGTAGAGGTTACAAGGACAAGAATACTGAATCTGGTATAAACTCAGCTGTTAGGTTTTGCTGGAGCTTAAAGCATAATTTAGAGATTAGTTCTCGAGGAGGCCATAGTGTCAGACATGGGTAAGTTTATGGAAGGCCTTGTGTGACACTTATCCTTGAAGATAGAAAGGTATTAAAGGTCTTAAGATGAAAGTTCCATAGCCAGATTTGATTTTTAAGTAGGTTATTCTTATGGTTGTGTGAAAGAGATTTTAGAGAGAATATTCTGAAACAGGAGATCAGTTAAAAGACTAATATATGCAGTAGTTCAGATGAAAAATAATAATGGTTTTAGTTCGAGCAAGTTAAAAAATGTCATAGGAACAAATATGAGGAGTAATACTTGGGAGGTAAAATAAATAGGACTTGTTGACTTAGTAGTTGTAGGAATGAGAGCAAAAGGGAATGACTTTCAGATTGATAACATTGTGTACATGGTAAATGGAGGTGTCAGTTGTGTTAGTGAACGTGAGACAAGTGGCGGTTTTGTAGCGTAATTTGATGAGTTCAGTTTTGGACATGTCTTGAGGCACCTACAGGATACATTAACTTAAAGTCCTGGAGGAGAGGACCTTGCTATATATATTAGCTGTGATAGACATCAGCTATATGGGGTAAATGGAATTATTAGAATAGATGTGATCAGCCATGGAGAGAGTAGAGTGAGAAAAGGCAGACACCTAGTAATACAAGATGCTTGGGAAACATCAGTGCTTAAGGGATGCATGCATAGAGTAAGAGCAGCCCAAAGAAAGAGAATGACCAGAGTAATTAAGGAGAATCTGCAGAGTGGAAGCCAAGGGATTAAAGAGTGTGAAAAGTTGGGAGTAATAAACATCTTCAGATGTAGATGTATGGTGGGGATGCCTTATATGATACATGAAAAATGTCCATTAGATTAGGCATTTAAGAAGTAGGCTGGTGAACTTTTTAAACATAATTTCAATAAAGTGATAGAGCTGGTCTGATTTTTTAATTGACAAGTAAATGAGAGATGAGGGAGCTGGGAAAATAAATATGTATTACTTTTGAAATTTAAATGTGAATTATACAAAGATTGGGCAAAAACTGAAGTGGGACTTGGTCTGAGAAGTATTTCTGAGAACGAGATATCTTAACATGTTTATTTAGACAAAGATTGATAGGGATTAATTGAGGATATTGGAGAAAGGGGGCAGAAGGAATAAGGTATTGATAAGCTCTGATGTCACTGATAAAATAGGTGTTGGTGAATTTGAACTTATCCTCTGAAGGACAGCCTTTGAAGCTTGAGGAAAGGAAGTAAATATGGTTACATGTAGACAAGGGGATGGGAAATCAAGGTAGATCATTCCTGAAGATTTCCCCCCACTCCCTTTTTTGGGTAAAATTGGAGATAGCAATAGCTGAATGTCAGGCAGGCAGAGATTAAGAATTTGGAGACAATACTGAAGATTTAAGTAGTTACCAAGGGGAATGTATGAAGGTAAGAACCTCATTGAAGTGAAAGAAAGGGTAGATAAGAGGATTCTGAGTACATAATAGAGGTTGGAGTCTAGAAATTTATAGTGGCATCAACCCATGGAGATTTGTGATACTGCTCTAACAGTACTTAGAAATGAAGTTGTGGAGAAAAAAACAGATTGCAACATCAATCTAGGATTGGGCTTTTTTAGGATGGTTATAGGAAACTTTGCGGTGAAAGAAACAGAAAATGAAAGAAACAGGAAAGAATAGTTAAGATTAGCTCATATATGAAGTTCAGGAAGAGAAGCTCGAGATATGCTAAATAAGCTAGAAGAAAATTGAAGTCAGTGTCTCTTTGATGTAGAGGACCAGAATTAAGGTCCTGAAATTGAAAGGTGCTCAGGAAGGTGTCTTCAAAATAGTTGAGATTTTTCATTTGGAACAATTTTAGGTGATTACCTAGAAAGAAAGAAAGAAAGATCCTACATGTGAGTAATTGAATAGAATGAGTAAAGTTCCAGGGATTAAGATGATATGAATATTGAGGCTGTGCTCTTAATTCTGTATGTATTTTGTATTTCCCAGGAAATTGGCAGCAAGTGGGATTGAGACAAAGACTAAATCAGGTCTCAAGTCTTCAGTGAATGAGGTAGGGATTTATAGATGATAGTAACATAGAATAGAGAGTAGAACAAATAAATGACATACCCCCCAAACAGCATAAAACTTTGATGTGAGGTAGAAAGTTATGGTAGTTTTAAACCACATAAAAGTTAACCACCTTGTTTGCCCAATACTGTGTATTGGTTAATATACAGACTTCAGTGGTTACTTATATTTTGATAATGTATATGTCTTTGGAATATATATTCCAAAGACATATACATTAAAAAGAATAATCCTTACGTATCAGAGACTGTTGAAGGGGAGTCAGCATCTGTAATGGTAGAACTAAATTTCATTTACCACTTGGAAATAGAGTGACTCTTCTGGAAAAAAGCTTAGGCCTGGAACGGTGGTTCTAGAAGGTTAGTGGAATGTTGAGAGAGGGGTCATTAGTAGCAGGAATAGAGGATGAGAGCAGAGAGGTTAGATCGCCTTTCATCATTTCATGATTGAAGCTTTGAGAGATAAGCATGAATCTTATGCTTTGAGGTATAAGTCTGAAAATGAGTGATCCCAAATATTTTAATATTGGCACAAATTGTTGAAGGTGCCCCAGGTGGTTGCTGACTTTGTGTCAGCAAGGTGATGTGGGCTACTCTCAGGTTTACAGAGGGGTTTGTTAGGGCCTTCTTCTGAGTAGAGGCTCTTTGGCTCTAAAATGATTGACGTAAAGGCAAAGGCTGTAGGTCAGATAGCTCTCAAACATTCACAGGCATTGTTCTGGACGTGGTCTGTTGCACTGTGTTTTGTGTAACATTAAGGTCCTCAGTAAAGTACAATGAGAGGGATACCTTGATGTTATTGATAGAGGAATCCTATTAGAGTATTGAAGTGAGCCTTCATGAGTGTTCATGTCTTAGAGTGCAGTCATTTATTTTTCTGTTCGTTCATCAAATATCTTAGAGCATATGTGTCTTGGATGCATCAATCAATAAAACAGACAAAAATCCTCACCTTCGTGGAGCCTATATTCTAGTGAGGGGACGAAAGAGGATTATAAACATGAAAAATATGTAAATTATTTAGTGTGTTAGAAGGTAAGTGCTATGGAAAGGAAAAACTACTCAGGTGAGAGTATTGGGAAAATCTATAATTTTATTATCAGTGTAGACCTACTTGAGAGGGTGACATTTGAGCAAACATTTGAAGGACAGAGAATAAGCTATGTGACTTTGTCGGGGAAGGGATCCAGGCAGAAGAAACAGTTAATGCAGAGGCTCTGAGGTGGGACTGTGCCTGTGGTGATGAAGGCATAATGAGAGTCCCATGTGTCTAAAATGAACTGAACAAGAAGAAAGTAGGTAAGAATGTTAGACCAAGAATGAAGGGTTTTTTTTGTTGTTAAATTCTAGTTTGTTATCAGTAATATAGATTATATTGTTAAATATATGGTTGTAATCATTTAATTAAATTGGCCATGTTTAAATGTATAATGATTAGTAAAAAATGTAGTTCAAGTCATAAAGTTATCAATTATTGTATATTTGAGGAATAACTTTTTTAAGTTCTATATCCTTAAGGTAGTGGTTTTCTTTACAGAATGATTTGGAACAAGTACTACGTCAAATTGGTGATAAGGACCAAAAGATCCAGAACCTTGAGGCCTTATTACAGAAGAGTAAAGAAAGTATTTCCTTATTAGAAAAAGAAAGAGAAGATCTTTATGCAAAAATTCAGGCTGGTGAAGGAGAGACTGCTGTACTTAACCAGTTACAAGAAAAAAACCATACCTTACAGGAACAAGTAAGCTTGTCAAATGTATTCTATTTCTAAAATTTACTTTTATCGCTCTAAATCTTACTAAGTGCTTTATTTAAATGATTCTTCATTTTGCTTATTTTTAAGTACTTAAAAATATTATGTATATTTGACAAATACCATCTCATTTACGTTAAGGGTGGATTCCTATTACAGTGAAAGTAACAATGTAATTTGACAAAGAAAATTACAGTTCATGTCCCAGGTGACCATGAGCAAATCATTTCATCTTGTTAGTTCATTTGTAAAGTAGAGATGTTATTAATAATGCATGCTTGTCTCATGGCATTTTGTGATGTTTTGTAAAACAAATGAATAACAAAATATATTTATAAACTGAAAGTACCAATCAAGTATTAGCTGTTACTGTGTATTGGTTAATATACAGACTTCAGTGGTTACTTATATTTTGATAATGTATATGTCTTTGGAATATATAGCTAATAATAATTTTGATAAGTTGCCTTATTATTCTAACATTCATGTATAATTTAAAAGGAACTTTTAAAATTTAGCTTAATGTATTTTCAAACTGAAAAGAACTTTTAATTGCTTTTTAAAAGGAATTGTCCAATAAGAGAATTATAATTATATAAATGAGAAAGCAGTAAACAAAGTATCATATCTTACTATTCTTCTAATTTGGATATTAGAATATAACTCAAATTTTCCCCCCAATTTAAAAGTTAGCCTTTTTATGAAAAATTCAGTTTTCATGAAGAATTATTTAGACTAGTTTATAGTTGTAAATTGTATACAACTGGACATTGCTTACCATACGGATATGACCAAGAAAGTCTATAAAGTTTTTTTAAAAAGAATAAATAAATCTGTGTACTTTTGCTTCTGACCAGAGTAACTAATACCTATTTAGTCCTCTAATAAACAACTAGAAAAGTAGGAAAAAATGTATAAAACCACTATTTCATACATTTTGTACAATAAGCAGTGCAAGGCTTTGATCCCTGAGAGAAGAGAAGTGTGGTGAACCTTTTGACCACTGCAACTTTTGACCTGGAGGCATTTGCCAGACTCTGGTGCAGGTTGGGGAAATCCAAGGAAAGCACAGTAGTATCACTGAACTGAGAATGAGAGCCCAGGGAGCCTGAGGAAGCTCAAATTCGCAGGGCAGAATATCAGAGAGGAGGCAACAATGGAGAGAAAAAGCTCCAAAACTCGGCATAGGGATCCACTTGAGCTTTTAGCTGAATGCTAAGTTTTATGCTCGTAAGATGGTATTCTATAAGGCCAGGCAATGTACAATTATTAGGAGCCTCAGGCTGAAAAATTATCAGAACTCACAGTGGTGGAGATGTTCAAGTTCCAACCAGTCAGAGAAGAAAAATGTGGTTGAACATATGGGGGCATTCAGTAGAAATCCCAGAAATGTCATTCCTTAGTAGTAAAGCTAAACTAGCCTGGGTAAAAGCTAGTATATACCTGACCTAACAAAGCATAAAAAAAAGCTTTGAAAGGATCCAGCTGAACCATAAATATGTTAACTGCCTGCTGAAACAAAATTCAACATTCTTTTAAAGAAGACAAGAAAACCCAGACCTGTCACAAGAAATATAAAAAAAATTACTTGACCGAAAAGCAGAAACAGGAGAAAAAATCATTCAATGGAAATAGACCATGAAATGAGAGATTAAATAGTCATCAGACAAGTACTTTAATACTGCTCTCAAAATATGCTATAGATATAAATGAAAAAAGCATTAACAGTGGAAACAGAAGTGGAAATGATAAAAAAAAAAAAGAACAAAAGAGAACTTCTAGAGATAAGAAAAAATATCTAAAGTGAAAATTTCATTGGATGGGCTTAATAAATAAAGTGAAAACAGTGTTAGTGAACATTAACACAGGGTAATTGAAGCTGTTCAAAATGAAGCAGAGAGAGAAAAAAGGCTGTGGGACAGTAACTATGTATTGTAGCATACATATAACTAGTGTCACAGAAGGCTTGGGAGGAGGAAAGTATTTATAGAAATAATGTCTGAAAATTTTAAAATTTGATTAAGACTATGAACCCACAGATTCAGGAAGTTCAATGAATGCCAGTCAAGGTACACCAAAGAAACATCAGATGAATTGGATTTCATCTAAATTAAAAATGTTTGCTCTTCAAAAAAGATAACATTACAAAAATAAAAGCTAAGACACAGATTGGGAGAAAATATTTGCAATACATATAGCAGACAATTCAGAAATATCCAGAATATGTAAGGAACTCTTATTAATCAGATCAGTGATTATCTGGGGCTAGAGATGAGTGGAGGGTGCTGAATGACTACAAAGGGGCATGAGGAAGCTTTTTGGGGTAATAAAAATATTCTCTATCTTGATTGTGGTTAAATAAGTATATGTATCCATCATCTCCAAACTGTACAATTAAATTGGGTGAATTTTATTTCATGTAAATTACAGCTAAGTAGAGGTGGTTTAAAAAATAATAATAGGAATCTCCAAATTTGATGTTATTTCTGAAGATTTTGAGAGATTATGTTTACTTATTTTTGGAAAGATGCCGACAGTTTTTCTGGAAAAAGGTTTGAGATAACCTGCCATAGAAGACTTTAGTATTCTCATGGTGATTACATTTGGGTTTCTTAGTTCTTGTTATATCATTTGTGACCCTCATAATTAAGAGTGTTGCTTGTATGATAGGTAACTCAACTAACAGAGAAGCTGAAGAATCAGTCAGAAAGCCATAAACAAGCCCAGGAGGATTTACATGACCAGGTGCAAGAGCAGAAGGCACATCTTAGAGCTGCACAAGACCGTGTTCTTTCTCTGGAAACTAGTGTGAATGAATTAAATAGTCAATTAAATGAAAGCAGGGAGAAGGTCTCCCAGCTTGACATACAGGTAATACTGCAATTTAATATGAGTTTGTATGACCAAAGAATGAATTGTAGGCCAACAGATGTTTTAAATTCTGTTTCTCCCTCTCCTTATTTCTCTTCCTTTCTCTCTCTCTCACTTATCAATGGAAAAAGGTTGGGAATAGAAATTAAGTAAAGGTTGTATCTAGACAGTTTGTTGAGCTTTCCTGTTTCACTTTTTATCTTTCTTGGAGCAAACTGCACTTTCAGAAACCATCAGAGCTTTTCACTTTCTTTGTTTTCATGAACTCCTTATTATTTTTGAAGTTCAAAGTAATTTGATATTATACCATTAGATTTCTATGTTAAATACCTTTTTAGTTTGATTTTTAAATTTTACTTTAAAGTTTTCATTAAAAAAAAAAACCTTTATATGGTACTGTTAAGTATTTTGAAATATTCTTTCAGAGGCCAATATAGAAACCTTGCTCATTGAGTCAATCACAGGGTGGAAATTAAGACATATTTCTATCTCTATTCTCATCATTCTTCTATACTATAATACTATATACAGGTATACTTATTAGAACTTGGAGAAAGAGGATACACATATCTTTCTTTTTAAAATAGAAAATATTTGTTAGATGAGTTATATGATCACGCAATTTGTACATGTCCAGTTTAAGAGAGGGAGAAGTATTTTGTTGTCATATAGTGACTTATGTATCATCAGCTATGTCATGATAAATTTCATCATTCATCCAAACATTTTTAAGAGTCTTCATCCCTTCTTCATATACTTAGTTTTTAATGTCTGAATCCTTGTTTTTTGCCAAAGGACTTAATTTTAAAAAATACTTTAGTGGCAAAAATTATCCATGTTCAAGTAAGGGGAAATCAAGAACTAAATACAAATTAAATGACTTGTACATTTTGTTACAGATTAAAGCCAAAACTGAATTATTACTATCAGCAGAAGCAGCAAAAACTGCTCAAAGAGCAGATCTTCAGAATCATTTGGACACAGCCCAAAATGCATTACAGGATAAACAGCAGGTAGGGGAGCTTAATGCAATTTCATACCATAACCTAATGTTCTGGTAGATAAATTAATTGCAAATATGTATAAAATAACACTTAGTTTTATATAATGTTGTGATTGACTTGCTTATTCCCTTTAATTTCTCCTCGAATTAAGAATCAGTGGAATGGTAGATGCAGGAGTCAGACAGATGGAGATAAAAATATCTTTGGTTTTGATAAAGCTCAATTGTTGTGCAGCTATGGTTGGGCTTCTTAATATTGTATTTCTCCTTTAGTCCAGACCTTGGTGTGGAGCTGAAATATTTACTACTAATTATTGAATTGTTCCCTCATCCCATCAAGTATCAATGATTGGAAAAGAGAGATTGACTCCCATGTTTTTAGCTGGTAATCTGGTCATGACCCAGATATACTTAATGTTGGAAGGAGGTAAAGAGTACCATGTATTCCATCTCAATAATAAGAGTTACTCTCTTTTTTGAGGGGTAGGAGTAAGTGGGATTGTAGGGAATACAGAAGTTACTTTTCTCAATACTTCTGATAGAATGAAAAACACTTACACTACTTTAGGGCCAAGGTAAAAATGGTGGTAGATTTTTCTGACCTTTTGATAGGTAGGAATTTTTAAAGTTTGCTTTTTAATTTGAGAAGTAATACTGGTTGTTTTTCCATCTTTCTTTAAACAATACAGTTGTGTATCACGTTAACAAAAATTGATACTATTTTATACTTATGTTAAGCCTGAATCCCATTTTCCTCCTTAGAATGTTTTTTATTAAATTTAGATACATCCTTCCAGACTTCTGTAAGCATTGAATATGTATGTGTGTGTGTGTGTGTGTGTGTGTGTGTGTGTGTGTGTGTGTGTGTGTATGTGTATGTGTGTTATATACACCATACTCCAAAGGAAACCATCAACAAAACAAAAAGGCAGCCTACTGAATGGGAGAATATATTTGCAAATGATACATCCAATAGGGGATTTATTATACACAATGTATAAAGAATTCATACTACTCAACACCAAAAAAACAAATAATCCAATTTTTAAAATGTGTGGAGGACATGGAAAAACATTTTTCCCAAAGAATATATACAGGTGGTCAGTAGATGTTCATACATAACACATAAAGATGTTTAACATCACTGTTCATCAGGAAAATGCAAATCAAAACATAATGAGATGTTACTTCACACCCAGTCAGAATGACTAGTATTAAAAAAACAAGAAATAACAAGTGTTGGTGAGGATGTGGAGAAAAGGGAATCCTCATGCACTGTTGGTGGGAATGTAAATTGGTATAGCCACTATGGAAAGCAGTATAGAGGTCTCTCAAAAAACTAAAAATAGAAATACCACACAACCCAGTAATTCCACTTCTGGGAATTTACCTGAAGAAAACAAAATCACTAATTTGAAAAGATATATGCATTCCTATGTTTATCACAGTATTCCTTACATTAACTAAGATATGGAAGCAACCTAAGTATCCATCAATAGATGAATAAAGAAGATATGATACATATATACAAAGGAATATTACTCAGTCATAAAAAGATGAAATCTTCCATTTATGACAACATGGATGGACTGAGAGGGCATTATGCTAAGTGAAATAAGTCAGGCAGAGAAAGAAAAATACCATATGCTTTTACTTGAATGTGAAATCTTAAACAAAAATAGACTCAAACACAGAGAACAGGCTGATTGTTGCTAGAGGGGAGGGATTGTAGGGATTAGTGAAATAGATGAAGGGGATTTTTAAAAAACCAGTTTTACATAACAAGTAAACCTACAAAAAAGGAAGTGATCAAAACTTTATTAGCAAATGTTCAAGTCTATTAATAATCAGTTGCAAATTAAGACAATAATGGGATATGCCCTTATTGAGGTATGTGTGTGTATGTGTTTAACACTGAGAGGATTGGAGATTATATAGAAGAAGAACAAGCCACTTTCAGTCACTGCTAGTGGTAGTATACATTAGTTCAATCTTTTGATAGTGATAGGGGAAGCTGTTTGGAAATACATTTCAAGAACCTTAAGATTATTCATATTCTTTAGTTTACTAAGGAAATAATAATAGCTTTAAGTATGCTATTTGCAGTTCTGTTACTGAATGCAGAAAGCTAAGTAGCAATGTAAGAATCTAAAATAGGACATTTGTAAAAAAGATGGTCTGTATTAATAAAATGGAAATTTACCCAGTCTAGTATAATGATGTTTAGAAAATAATGAAACAGTTTAATGATGCATTAAGTAAAAGTGAAGTTATAGTTAAACAGTATGTAAAACAAAATCTTGTTATTTTACAAGTATAAATAAAAAATAGAAACATGCAGAAAAGACTGGAAGAAAAGTTATCAAAATTTTAATAGTGATTATTTGTGGGTGGTAGATTTACTAGCAATTTGTATTTTATTCTTTCTGTGCAAATAGGTATTACAAAAGAATTGAACAAGTATTAATGTAATCACTGTGTTTTTAAATATGTTTTCAAAAAGTGTGAACATTGAAAACATTTAATTATATAAGTGTTATTTTATTAGTAGTGTATTTAATATTCTGTTGAATCTTTTGGCTCCTAAAATAACTGTAGAAAAAGCTATTGAGCTGTTATGCATATAAAGACAGTATCTCAAACTATGTATAACTTCAGTTGAGGTCCTTTATATTGGTGGGTAAATATAATCTCTGATAAATCATTAAACTTATCTGTGGTCTTACTCCAAACAGTTTCTTAAATAAAATCAGATTTTTCAATACTACTTTGACCAAACATTTGGGCACTATAGTAAAGTGAACCTTACCGAAGCTTTCTTTAATTGTACTTTTATATAGGAGTTAAATAAAATCACTACTCAGTTGGATCAGCTCACTACAAAATTGCAGGATAAGCAAGAACATTGCAGTCAGCTGGAAAGTCATCTTAAAGAATATAAAGAGAAACGCCTCTCTTTAGAGCAGAAAACTGAAGAATTAGAAGGTCAAATTAAGGTTTGTGTAAAAGAAATTGAATTTAATTAGCCATATTTTTTACTGCTGTAGCAATGGAAACTGATGACCTACAAAGATTTTAAATCTGCAAACAAAACTGAAGTTGTGTTGTAAAATTTTAAAAATTACTTGTAATTTTTCACATCTTAGTTTTGAATTCCATCTTTACTTTTAATTTCTCTATTAATTGGTCACTTTTACAAATGACAGTTAACGTATATAATGGGTTCAGTGTAACATAACTATTTCCAAGAGACAACCAATGAAGGATCTACTGTAATTTCAAGGAACTTAACCATTTTATGCTTGTTGAAGAGTCTCTTTTGTTTTAGCATTCCCATCTCCTTATCTTCTTATTTCAATATAGTATTTCAGATATGGTAAACTTCCTTTTTTAAACTGTACATTTTTACCCTTTGGATTTTGTTTCTTATTTTATGTAATGATTAAAAATAACAGAAAATCTATTTTATTGAAAAGTATCTAATGGGAAGTTTATTTGGCTATCTTTTTAAAATAGTTATTTAAAACCAGGAATGTCTATTGTGAGTGTCTATTATTATTATTAGGCCTTTAACATTTTGTAATTATTATTTAGGAAGTATTCCATATGTGCTCTTCAAAAAAGATAACATTACAAAAATAAAAGCTAAGACACAGATTGGGAGAAAATATTTGCAATACATATAGCAGACAATTCAGAAATATCCAGAATATGTAAGGAACTCTTATTAATCAGATCAGTGATTATCTGGGGCTAGAGATGAGTGGAGGGTGCTGAATGACTACAAAGGGGCATGAGGAAGCTTTTTGGGGTAATAAAAATATTCTCTATCTTGATTGTGGTTAAATAAGTATATGTATCCATCAAATCTCCAAACTGTACAATTAAATTGGGTGAATTTTATTTCATGTAAATTACAGCTAAGTAGAGGTGGTTTAAAAAATAATAATAGGAATCTCCAAATTTGATGTTATTTCTGAAGATTTTGAGAGATTATGTTTACTTATTTTTGGAAAGATGCCGACAGTTTTTCTGGAAAAAGGTTTGAGATAACCTGCCATAGAAGACTTTAGTATTCTCATGGTGATTACATTTGGGTTTCTTAGTTCTTGTTATATCATTTGTGACCCTCATAATTAAGAGTGTTGCTTGTATGATAGGTAACTCAACTAACAGAGAAGCTGAAGAATCAGTCAGAAAGCCATAAACAAGCCCAGGAGGATTTACATGACCAGGTGCAAGAGCAGAAGGCACATCTTAGAGCTGCACAAGACCGTGTTCTTTCTCTGGAAACTAGTGTGAATGAATTAAATAGTCAATTAAATGAAAGCAGGGAGAAGGTCTCCCAGCTTGACATACAGGTAATACTGCAATTTAATATGAGTTTGTATGACCAAAGAATGAATTGTAGGCCAACAGATGTTTTAAATTCTGTTTCTCCCTCTCCTTATTTCTCTTCCTTTCTCTCTCTCTCACTTATCAATGGAAAAAGGTTGGGAATAGAAATTAAGTAAAGGTTGTATCTAGACAGTTTGTTGAGCTTTCCTGTTTCACTTTTTATCTTTCTTGGAGCAAACTGCACTTTCAGAAACCATCAGAGCTTTTCACTTTCTTTGTTTTCATGAACTCCTTATTATTTTTGAAGTTCAAAGTAATTTGATATTATACCATTAGATTTCTATGTTAAATACCTTTTTAGTTTGATTTTTAAATTTTACTTTAAAGTTTTCATTAAAAAAAAAAACCTTTATATGGTACTGTTAAGTATTTTGAAATATTCTTTCAGAGGCCAATATAGAAACCTTGCTCATTGAGTCAATCACAGGGTGGAAATTAAGACATATTTCTATCTCTATTCTCATCATTCTTCTATACTATAATACTATATACAGGTATACTTATTAGAACTTGGAGAAAGAGGATACACATATCTTTCTTTTTAAAATAGAAAATATTTGTTAGATGAGTTATATGATCACGCAATTTGTACATGTCCAGTTTAAGAGAGGGAGAAGTATTTTGTTGTCATATAGTGACTTATGTATCATCAGCTATGTCATGATAAATTTCATCATTCATCCAAACATTTTTAAGAGTCTTCATCCCTTCTTCATATACTTAGTTTTTAATGTCTGAATCCTTGTTTTTTGCCAAAGGACTTAATTTTAAAAAATACTTTAGTGGCAAAAATTATCCATGTTCAAGTAAGGGGAAATCAAGAACTAAATACAAATTAAATGACTTGTACATTTTGTTACAGATTAAAGCCAAAACTGAATTATTACTATCAGCAGAAGCAGCAAAAACTGCTCAAAGAGCAGATCTTCAGAATCATTTGGACACAGCCCAAAATGCATTACAGGATAAACAGCAGGTAGGGGAGCTTAATGCAATTTCATACCATAACCTAATGTTCTGGTAGATAAATTAATTGCAAATATGTATAAAATAACACTTAGTTTTATATAATGTTGTGATTGACTTGCTTATTCCCTTTAATTTCTCCTCGAATTAAGAATCAGTGGAATGGTAGATGCAGGAGTCAGACAGATGGAGATAAAAATATCTTTGGTTTTGATAAAGCTCAATTGTTGTGCAGCTATGGTTGGGCTTCTTAATATTGTATTTCTCCTTTAGTCCAGACCTTGGTGTGGAGCTGAAATATTTACTACTAATTATTGAATTGTTCCCTCATCCCATCAAGTATCAATGATTGGAAAAGAGAGATTGACTCCCATGTTTTTAGCTGGTAATCTGGTCATGACCCAGATATACTTAATGTTGGAAGGAGGTAAAGAGTACCATGTATTCCATCTCAATAATAAGAGTTACTCTCTTTTTTGAGGGGTAGGAGTAAGTGGGATTGTAGGGAATACAGAAGTTACTTTTCTCAATACTTCTGATAGAATGAAAAACACTTACACTACTTTAGGGCCAAGGTAAAAATGGTGGTAGATTTTTCTGACCTTTTGATAGGTAGGAATTTTTAAAGTTTGCTTTTTAATTTGAGAAGTAATACTGGTTGTTTTTCCATCTTTCTTTAAACAATACAGTTGTGTATCACGTTAACAAAAATTGATACTATTTTATACTTATGTTAAGCCTGAATCCCATTTTCCTCCTTAGAATGTTTTTTATTAAATTTAGATACATCCTTCCAGACTTCTGTAAGCATTGAATATGTATGTGTGTGTGTGTGTGTGTGTGTGTGTGTGTGTGTGTGTGTGTGTGTGTATGTGTATGTGTGTTATATACACCATACTCCAAAGGAAACCATCAACAAAACAAAAAGGCAGCCTACTGAATGGGAGAATATATTTGCAAATGATACATCCAATAGGGGATTTATTATACACAATGTATAAAGAATTCATACTACTCAACACCAAAAAAACAAATAATCCAATTTTTAAAATGTGTGGAGGACATGGAAAAACATTTTTCCCAAAGAATATATACAGGTGGTCAGTAGATGTTCATACATAACACATAAAGATGTTTAACATCACTGTTCATCAGGAAAATGCAAATCAAAACATAATGAGATGTTACTTCACACCCAGTCAGAATGACTAGTATTAAAAAAACAAGAAATAACAAGTGTTGGTGAGGATGTGGAGAAAAGGGAATCCTCATGCACTGTTGGTGGGAATGTAAATTGGTATAGCCACTATGGAAAGCAGTATAGAGGTCTCTCAAAAAACTAAAAATAGAAATACCACACAACCCAGTAATTCCACTTCTGGGAATTTACCTGAAGAAAACAAAATCACTAATTTGAAAAGATATATGCATTCCTATGTTTATCACAGTATTCCTTACATTAACTAAGATATGGAAGCAACCTAAGTATCCATCAATAGATGAATAAAGAAGATATGATACATATATACAAAGGAATATTACTCAGTCATAAAAAGATGAAATCTTCCATTTATGACAACATGGATGGACTGAGAGGGCATTATGCTAAGTGAAATAAGTCAGGCAGAGAAAGAAAAATACCATATGCTTTTACTTGAATGTGAAATCTTAAACAAAAATAGACTCAAACACAGAGAACAGGCTGATTGTTGCTAGAGGGGAGGGATTGTAGGGATTAGTGAAATAGATGAAGGGGATTTTTAAAAAACCAGTTTTACATAACAAGTAAACCTACAAAAAAGGAAGTGATCAAAACTTTATTAGCAAATGTTCAAGTCTATTAATAATCAGTTGCAAATTAAGACAATAATGGGATATGCCCTTATTGAGGTATGTGTGTGTATGTGTTTAACACTGAGAGGATTGGAGATTATATAGAAGAAGAACAAGCCACTTTCAGTCACTGCTAGTGGTAGTATACATTAGTTCAATCTTTTGATAGTGATAGGGGAAGCTGTTTGGAAATACATTTCAAGAACCTTAAGATTATTCATATTCTTTAGTTTACTAAGGAAATAATAATAGCTTTAAGTATGCTATTTGCAGTTCTGTTACTGAATGCAGAAAGCTAAGTAGCAATGTAAGAATCTAAAATAGGACATTTGTAAAAAAGATGGTCTGTATTAATAAAATGGAAATTTACCCAGTCTAGTATAATGATGTTTAGAAAATAATGAAACAGTTTAATGATGCATTAAGTAAAAGTGAAGTTATAGTTAAACAGTATGTAAAACAAAATCTTGTTATTTTACAAGTATAAATAAAAAATAGAAACATGCAGAAAAGACTGGAAGAAAAGTTATCAAAATTTTAATAGTGATTATTTGTGGGTGGTAGATTTACTAGCAATTTGTATTTTATTCTTTCTGTGCAAATAGGTATTACAAAAGAATTGAACAAGTATTAATGTAATCACTGTGTTTTTAAATATGTTTTCAAAAAGTGTGAACATTGAAAACATTTAATTATATAAGTGTTATTTTATTAGTAGTGTATTTAATATTCTGTTGAATCTTTTGGCTCCTAAAATAACTGTAGAAAAAGCTATTGAGCTGTTATGCATATAAAGACAGTATCTCAAACTATGTATAACTTCAGTTGAGGTCCTTTATATTGGTGGGTAAATATAATCTCTGATAAATCATTAAACTTATCTGTGGTCTTACTCCAAACAGTTTCTTAAATAAAATCAGATTTTTCAATACTACTTTGACCAAACATTTGGGCACTATAGTAAAGTGAACCTTACCGAAGCTTTCTTTAATTGTACTTTTATATAGGAGTTAAATAAAATCACTACTCAGTTGGATCAGCTCACTACAAAATTGCAGGATAAGCAAGAACATTGCAGTCAGCTGGAAAGTCATCTTAAAGAATATAAAGAGAAACGCCTCTCTTTAGAGCAGAAAACTGAAGAATTAGAAGGTCAAATTAAGGTTTGTGTAAAAGAAATTGAATTTAATTAGCCATATTTTTTACTGCTGTAGCAATGGAAACTGATGACCTACAAAGATTTTAAATCTGCAAACAAAACTGAAGTTGTGTTGTAAAATTTTAAAAATTACTTGTAATTTTTCACATCTTAGTTTTGAATTCCATCTTTACTTTTAATTTCTCTATTAATTGGTCACTTTTACAAATGACAGTTAACGTATATAATGGGTTCAGTGTAACATAACTATTTCCAAGAGACAACCAATGAAGGATCTACTGTAATTTCAAGGAACTTAACCATTTTATGCTTGTTGAAGAGTCTCTTTTGTTTTAGCATTCCCATCTCCTTATCTTCTTATTTCAATATAGTATTTCAGATATGGTAAACTTCCTTTTTTAAACTGTACATTTTTACCCTTTGGATTTTGTTTCTTATTTTATGTAATGATTAAAAATAACAGAAAATCTATTTTATTGAAAAGTATCTAATGGGAAGTTTATTTGGCTATCTTTTTAAAATAGTTATTTAAAACCAGGAATGTCTATTGTGAGTGTCTATTATTATTATTAGGCCTTTAACATTTTGTAATTATTATTTAGGAAGTATTCCATATGTTTTACAAAGATATATTGTTATAGAATTAGTATATTTATATCAGATATCCAATGTAAGTGTTGAGTGAAGGCCACAAGTACCTAGATTGGTTTATAAAGTATATAGGATGCAAAATTATTACAATTATACAGGGAAATGCATTGCTTATAGATACTCTATATACTTAACAATTTAGTTTTGTAATTTGCGAAAATACATACATATATACATATGTATGTGTATACACACACACACACACACACACATATATATATATATATATATGAGACAGCAACTATACTATGAAAAACAGTAGTTTTTTGACCCAGAGATTAAAAAAGCAAAATCAGAAATGTAATTGGCTTTATAGTATTGTCATTAGATGCTAATTAGAAGGAGGACATGGCAACTCCAATTTAGTTTTTAATACTTATAATTACATCATTGCTGTTAACTATGAATATAAAAGATATATTTTAAGTGGGCCCTGCTATGACGCTGTTATACTTAGTTTTTTCATGCTTGAGTGAATAACTTTTACTCAAGTAATAGACATAATTATTTTAAGCTTATTCTCTTATTCAGAGTTAATTTTGAAAAGTAAAAATTTAGTGACTACCTATTAGGTATAAAGCCTGCTCTTGCCAGATTCCAAGATAAATAGCTCGTTTACTTAGTAAAGGCTTCAGAATATGTTTTTTATTATAATGTAAGTATTTTGTGGTTGTTTTTGTATGTTATGCCAATACCAATTTGAGTATAAACAAAAATCTTATAATATTTAATAATAGATGGAAAGTTATTGACATTAAAATGATTACTATATTTCTTCCATAGAAATTAGAAGCTGAAGCTCTTAAAGTTAAAGCAAGCAAGGAGCAAGCTTTGCAGGATCTACAACAACAAAGAGAGTGGAACACAGATTTAGAGCTTAGAGCCACAGAATTGAGTAAACAACTTGAAATAGAGAAAGAAATGTAAGCTAAACTACATAAGGAGAAGATTATAAACTAAGTAATAAAGTTTCCTTAAGATTTCAATTTCACTATCATAGTGCCTAAAGATTTATTAACTGTTTTTTTGTGTTGATTATGTAACTGCTGATGTTAATGTGAATGAAAAACAAAGCCATCATAATATGCTTCATGAGAAAGGATCAATGAACCAGTTGGCCTGAAGTTCTCTCTGAGTAACTTCTTAATGTGGACTTCAACTTATTTAATAGATACAAGGATATTATTATTTTCTAGTATTTTTTTTGAGTCAATTTTGGTAGTTTGTATCTTTCAAGGTATTTGTCCATTTCCTCTAAACTTCAAATTTATTAGTATGATATTCATAATATTATTATACTTCTAAGTTCTGTAAAATCTTTAGTGATGCCTCATTATTCTTAATAGTCATAATTTGTGTTCTCTTTTATTGACCAATCTTAATTACAGATTTATCAATTTATAAAAAAACATAATTTTCTTTGTCAACTTTCCATTTCATTTATTTCTCTTCTTACTTTTAGCATTCTGTTCCTTACACTTGGGTTTAGTTTGCTCTTCTTTTTATAGCTTCTTAATGTGAAAGCTTTCTTGTGGCTGTCCACCTTTTGTAGTATCTGTTTCTTTTTTCCGATTCCTCGCTCTGCATTTTGTCAATGCCAGATGTCAGATTTATGCAGATGGTAGTTACATGTCTTATTCTAATGAAATCAGTATAGTTTGACAGTTTTTCAACAGATAGAATAAATTATCTTGATGAAGATTGCCCTTTCTCCCATTTGTACTAAATGCTCATTGGGTTCATGACAGCTCTCACTGTAAGGGTAGATTAGTTTAGAAGATACTAGGATCTAAAAGATTAATTGGTATATGAAATTCCAAATGTGATTGGTGGCACAGGGGGTATGTGCTTCTGGATGCTTTCCATATAGCCATAAAAGTGCTGAACTGGGCCATCTTTCCTTAACTCCCAAGGTAGTATTAGTCTCTTGCTTAGCTTGTTTTTACTGATGCTTGGATTGGGTCTTGCCATGAGATCTTCAGTGGACACATAACTCACTGGAATTTTGATGGTTAAAAATCAGTTTTACCCCATTCATTAAGCTGTATTATTCATAGGAGGGCTTGTGACCAGTCACATTTTGGTAGACTTGGTCTTTAAATGCCAAACAGGCCACTTTGAGTGAGTTGACAGACTTGATCTAGGTCATGGGGATGAGGGTTTTTCACTCAGAAATAAAGATGGAGGCTGAGAACATGAGAAAGGTAAAATGGGAAATTCCAGTTCAAGGAAATAAAATCAAAACCATCAGAATTGGTAATTAAGTTGTTTCATGCCTTAATGGTTTCATCCTTGTTTTGGGAGTGATGATGAAAACTTTCTCGCATCTAGTAAATTGGGTACTGATTCTTCAAATTTTAAGATTTGGATATGCATTTTGTACCTCCAAGAGCATTCCGTTTTACTATTATCATCATAGTTTATAGTGCCTAACTATTTGGGGAGCACATCTTATCCTTCATATCACCCCTAAGTGGTTCATCACCTCTGGAACTCAGTCATCAGTCCATGAAGATCACCTCTTAGTTGGTTTTTGTTTTCTTTCCCAAGGACTCTATAGGCCCAATGATTACTTATATTTCTAATGGGCTCAATAGAAATGGGCCCATTTCCATTCTGTGTTTTAATCTCATGGTTCAGACTCAGAGGCTTCCACATTATATTGGGGTAAGAAAACCTTTTAATATTAAGATCTTTTTTGCCTGCATACTTTTTGCAGATGTTTCTTATGTGGGTCTTGTATTTCTAGAATGCTGCTCAGGAAAGGAGAGCTAGGTAAGCACATCCAGGTTTGAGTAAACCCCACCCCTGATCCCAGGGTTCAGCTCCCCTTTCTAAGGCCCACCTACATTTATGCATCCAACTCTTTCCTTCCAACTCACATTTTACAATATATTTTTATCACTGTGCAGTTTAATATATTTTCTAATACCTTCCATGATTTCTTCTTTGATGCATAGGTTATTTAGAGGTATGTTGCTTACTTTTCATATATTTGAGGTTCTTGTAGATATCTTACTGTGACTGATTTCTAATTTAATTCCATCATGGTCAGAGAATATACTCCTTAAAATTCAAACTTTCCTGACTATCTTGTTTTTGACCCAGTGTATGATTTATATTGGTTAATTTTCCATGTGTAATATGTATACTCTATATTGTTGGGTAGAGTGTTCTATAAATACCGATTAGGTCAAGGTAGTTAATAATATTCTAATCTTCTATATCCTTGCCAGTTATTTTCTCTGGCATTCTATCAGTTTTTGAGAAAGGGGTGTTAAGGTTTCCCACTATGACCATGGATTTATTTATTACTTCTTTTAATATATATATATTTTTAATTAACAAAGTTTTATAGTGACTGCAAACCTGTATATCTGTTTTGCCTTTTTGACTCATATTATCTTAGGATTTTATAATAATTATTTATGGGAAAGTTAACTAGCGTACTAAATAAATATAACAAGTCCTAAACTTAGGGTTATGTGACAGATTTTAACTGTATTAAAATAGTAAAATAATATTATCATAATGACTTTTCAGACCTATAAAAATTAGGTACATTATCCTACGAGTGTATTTAATGTCATCATTTTTATAACAAGTAATAGTAAATTTCTGGGACTGAAAAGTTGGAAAATTTTAAGGTATAGATACAGTTCTGATATTATATTAATACTAATACCCATTTTCAAATACATGGATAGCACAGCTTTTAATAACCTATTTTTAGCATACTTTTGAGTTCATACTGACTATAAAGTATAATAGAAACAATATGCATTCCAGAAATTTATTACTTTGCATCTGGTTTTATTTTCACTTAAAAAATTGTTGATCTTAATGCATGTTTTTCTTTAGGTGCATAATATGTATTATTTCATTCCTTTTGTGAAAAGAGTAAAAGTGTTTAGTTTAACTTTTCTAAAGCTATATCTTCATTCCTCATTCTTGTAGTTTATTCAGTTAGGTGTAGAAACTTATGTTAAAGGACAAATAACAAATCTCTTATATAATCTGCTAGGCTCTAGGATTAGATTAAATCTGTTGTCTTTCCTCTGTGCTTGAAATGAAATATTTTTATTTACTGTATTTTTTTGGAAGTTTAAGACCTATCAAAAACATGTGCTTTAGGTTTTCAACGAAAGAGGCAAAATTCTATATGTGCTTGGTGACTAACACAATGAATAAGTTCTTTAGGATACATGAAAAAACTTTTCTGGCTGTTGCAGACTAGAGCATCTGCTATACGCTCAGTTTTCTTTGGGGGGATCCATTGTGGTGACAAGACTGGGTTAAGTGTCGAGGCTTAGATGGCCTTGGCTTTATCACTAATTTATTTGACTTTAGAAAAAAAAATCTTCATCTGCTAAATGATCAGCTCAGATATTCTAAGGCATTTTTTGGTTGTATGGTCTTATGACATTAAATTATTGTTTTCTGAACTACACAAGAAAGTTAAAAACAATAATATTTTAAATTAATTTTTAATGTTAAATTAGAAATGATAAATTATACATTCTTTAAAAAAATTATTTCTTAAATGTTTAGAGTATCCAGTACAAAGTTGGAGCTACAGAAAAAATCTGAAGCCCTTGAAAATATTAAGCAAATGCTTACTAAGGAAGAGGAAGAAAAAATAAACTTGAAAAAAGAAATTGAAAATTTAAGTCAAGATGCAAAGATGCAACACAAGGAATTGAATAACAAAATTCAAACTGTGGTAACAGAACTACAAAAAGTGAAGATGGAGAGAGAAACTCTAATGACAGAGCTTTCTGCAGCAAAAGAGAAATTATCAAAAGTTTCTGATTCTTTGAAGAACTCCAAAAGTGAATTTGAAAGGGAAAATCAGAAAGGAAAAGCTGCTATATTAGATTTGGTTAGTTGTTTATATTTACTTTTTTAGGTAGAAGTGATTTTTATTTCAAATGTATTGATTTTTTTAGCATAAATTAATTATAATTACTTCTGTGACATACAAATGTGATTTCCAGAGTGTTCTAAAATATTATCTAAATATTATCTGAAGCATTTATTATAACTGTTGGTTGATGAATGAAATTCTTAGCCTTTTCCTGTCTCTTCCCGTTTACTACTATAGTATTTGCCTGTTTAACTGAAGTAGATGATTCTATCCCATCTTAAACCATCAACAGTTCTAGTTAGTTCCTTTTGTGGATCTTACTATGCTTAAAAACCACACTTCCTAACCTTACTATAAATATTTTCTGCATAATGTAGTTTCTATTCTTTTAGGAAAAAACTTGCAAGGAATTAAAACATCAACTTCAAGTACAGACAGAAAGTGTACGTAAGGAACAGAATGAACTGAAAAAGTCACTTGAAAAAGAGGAGGAGGTAGGATTTTCCTTTCCTTTAACATAGAAGATGTAAAGCATAATAGGTTTTATATTTTCAAAATGTTTTCACATTGATATGTCAAAGGAAGGTTTATTTCTCTGAAATGTAATGGATCATACACACATAATTTAAAATTGTCATGTATGTTTTACTATGAAAATATTTAAGCCAATTTATAGAAGAAGACCCAAAATAAAGGATTATAATTAATAAAGGTGAAAAATGGAGTCAACTAACTGTAGAGTTATAATTAGATAATATAGATTAAGCGAATATTATTTATAGTTGAAAAAATATCTTGATAGGCTTTCCATAGAAATGATAATTTAAGGGCTCTTATTTTATGGGCATTTATATTAATGGTGTATTTGATAATTGTATAACAGATTTTTCTATGGTTAATGCTTCTATTCAAAGAAGCAAATGAGTGAATATATGAGTGTGTGTGTGTGTGTGTGTGTATAGTTATTTTCTGAGGACCTACCTCTAGCAGCTGGAGTCCAGACACATAGCTTTCTAGAGATTTGATTTGGTAAAGCAGCAAAATTTAGTTCTGACAAGTCTTTAATATGTTCTGTACTGGCTGTTGATTGAAATAAGACATCTGTGCTTTAGATGCCAGCCATGTATGTGACAAAATTATGGTGGCTTAGTGCCCAAGCTCTGAATCTAGATTGTCCAGATTTATATCCTGGCTGTGCCATCTATTAACTATGCTGTCTTGCTTTAGCTTAGGCAGATTATATAATCTCCCTGTGCTCCAGTTTCCTCAGTAGTAAAATGGGGCTAATAATAGACTCTATGTCACAGAATTATTTTGAGAAATAAATGAGTTAATACATTTCAAAATGCTTAAAACACTGTAATAAAAGAAATGCTCAAATGTTAGCTTTCACTTTTTCATTGGTTTTCATAACATAATCATCATTATTGTTATAGTTACTACTGTTTTGTACAAAAATATTTACCTTTATGTTGGAGATAGCTGAAGCTTCTATATATAGCACCAAAAGTTTTTTACAAGTATCTTTGAACATGGTCAAATGCTCAAAATAGGTTCATATGCAATATGCATAGAACATGAAAACATGACTTTATTTGGAAGGGCTGGAGAGAGTAGTAGTTCACCTTGGTTACAGAAGAACCTGAGTGTGACTTCTATGTTATACTTAATTTTGAACAAAAATATATCCTAATATATTGTAAAAACAAAATAGTAGCAAAATATTCCCCAGATCTCTGAGGAAACTATTGTGTGATATAGTTTAGTGTTATCAGACAGATACTAAACATATATGCCAAAAATGATTTTTGTTTTATCATAGCTAATATAGTGCTGTTCTTTCTGATTAACCATGGCCACCAGGCTTAGTAAGCATTTTGAGAATATTCTTTGAGAATAAGGAGAGTAGACATTCCAGCAATCTAAAGATTGATGTTGGTATTTCTATTTTATGTGATACAAGGGAATAATAGTTCATTTACACATGCTATCCAAATAGGTAAGTTAAAATGTAGAATTAAACAAATATTGATGATTAATCCAGCATTCATCTAACAGTGAGTGGTGTCAATTATGAAAGCTCCAGGAGAGCAGGGCCTATTATTTTTGGTTTACTGCTGATTACCTGTGGCCAATAGGGTCACTAGTTCCTTCCTAGAGTAATGCTTGGTATATAATAGATACTCAATAAATGTATGTTGAATGAATAAATGAATGCTAAACAGATTTTATTTTCTTTTAGACTAGTCATCAGTTGAAATTGGAACTCAGTTCAATGCAGGGGCAAGTCATACAGTCCCAAAATACTTTAAAACAAAAGGAAAAAGAACAACAACAACTTAAGGGCAACATAAATGAGCTTAAGCAATTGACTGAACAGAAGAAAAAGCAAATTGAAGCACTCCAAGAAGAAGTTAAAATCGCTGTTTCACAGAAGGTTAGGGATATGATAATTGTTTACTTTTTATGGGAGGAAAAACTTTGCAGTTAAGGTAATGTAATTAACACAGATGAGTTACAAAAAAGAATAGTTGGTATATGCTCAAAATTTTTCTAAGTTAAATGTATAAAAGCATTTAATCATGTGATTAAATATCTGTCTGGATTTTCTCACTATAACCATGTTGTCATATAACTATTTTGTAAAATTATAGTCCTATGATTTTTCTGGTACATGTAAAACTACCTTTTTATAGAGAATAAGGTAGAACAATGTTAAGAGAATAATTTATACATTTCAAGTGTATTCAAAAATGTTAAAGGAATTTAAAAAATTACCCTTATTAAGGGGAAATAACAATAAAGTACAAAATGGGATAAATTTTAAAAATTCAGTAGTGCACATTGCATGTAATTGTTTCTTGAAGTTACATCGTAGCAGTTTCCATTTCCAAACTATTCTACTTTATTATTGAGCATCTGTTTTTCATTTTTAAATGTTTTAATACTTGTCCAGACCAAGAGTTGATAAAAAATCAATTGTACTTAATATTTGAACAAAACAAGTTTTTCCCCATTATTGGTATGTGCATGTTAATTGACTCATTGAGAAGAGAGAAGTAAAATCTCTGCAATGTAGAACAAACAAAATACGTCATGTCATTAAGAGTTGTCTGTCACATTAACCAGAGAAAAGAAAAATTAACCCACAAATGCATATTTTATGTTGACTGCTATTTTTAAAACTATTATTATGCCACTTTACAGGACTAACTTTCTAATAACACAAAGACTAGAAAATTTGCCTATGCTCATCTATGTGTGTGATCATTTATAATCATAAGTCAGGATGTAATAATCACAATAGGTATTTTGTTGTATACTTCAATATCTTGAGGTCATTCCAAAATCTATTAGCCTTGTGTCCAAGTATTCCCCACATCTTCATTTTTTAACATTATATCTTAGTGAATTAAAAAAAACAAACTACTTTTACTACATTTTCTTTTTTATTAAATTCTAACTACATTTATATTAATATATATTGGCTCTACCTTGCATGGTTTTACTGGATGACATCTTAAGGGTTTTGAGATTTAGAGGAAATGTTCATATTGGTAGTTCTCTTGTTTGGACTGTTATAACAAAAATACCATAAATGAGGTGGCTTAAATATAGACATTTATTTCTCACAGTTCTGGGGGCTGGAAAGTCTCTTCTAAAGGCATTCTGAATATCCAGTTTTTGGTGAGAGCTTATAGATAGGTTCCTGGCTGTATAGATAGCTGCCTTCTTGCTGTATCATCATGTGGCTGAGAGAAAGGTCCTTCTTGGGTTTTTTCTTATAAGGGCACTAATCCCTTTCATGAGGGCTCCATCTTTATGACCTTATGACCTCCCCAAAGCTCCACCTCCAAATACCATCATACTGGGAATCAAGGCTTCAACATACAAATTTTGGGGGGACACATTCAGCCATAACAGTGGTTCACTTATATTAGCATATAGTACTAGGATAAGGAACCCTTTTTAATCTTGGGGAGAACAGCATTTTAGGGAGTGTTGGGTGGATAACCAGTCTCTATAAATTAGACTTGGAATTTGAAGTAACTGAAAAATCATTGAAAAGCAAGAATAGTTTGGTATTGTTGAAGAGCAGTGTAGCATCATGGAAAGAAGATACGTTTTTGGAGTCAGGCAGATCTGAATTTAATTTTTATGTGACACACATTAGGTTTATGGTTATTGGAAAGTGATTCATCTTTCTGAGCTAAATAAAATGGGGTCATAGAGTTGTTGTAAAGATTGAAATAATGCATTTAAACTGGGCACAGTTAAGTAGGACTGTGCCCAGTGCAATGTGGAAGCAAAATAGTTGGATAATATATGGAAGTATAGCAAACTATGATCTAAGAGTGTCAGTGTGAATGATAGATGATGCAGTGATGGTCTGACAGTTATTACTGGCTCACAGTGAAATAAGAAAATGAGGTTAATGTTTAAATGGGTGTAGATGTGCATGTGTACACACTTAGATACATATAAAACACATAGAGGTACATACATGTTTATATATATATATATATATATATGATTGGGAGCCACTAGTCAAGGATCCAGCAAGCAGGCTATGTAAGTCAACAGTTTCCTGCATCAACTTTATTCAAAATCTATTGCGGGAATACAGAATGAATAGAATATGCTTCCTACTCTTCAGTAGAATATAATTAAATGAGGAAGCAGGATGTAAAAAAAAGATAACTGTAATATATAAAATGAGAGTAAAACAAGAACTTAAAAACATATATAAGAAAAACGGGAACTTAATAGAAATTTTAACTGGCTTCCTAGACAAGCTAGCATTTAAACTGGGCCTTTGAAGATGATAATAATTCTGAAAGATTAAAAAAAGGAGAAAATCATGTATCAAGGAGAGGAAACTATTAGCAAAGTTTGCAAAACTTAAAAATATGTCATTACAGAACATTAGCTATTGGAGTTCATTGTAGATGGAAAAGTGAGGGGAGGTTAAGTCTACAGAGTTAGATGAAGTCAGATCACAGAATATGTTATATAGTTGTTTCCATTAAAAATTTTAATATTGTAGGACTAAAGGTTTTTCAGAAGGGAGGAATGTGATCAGACCTGTTTTAGAGCAAAAACTGATCAGTGTGTGAAGGATAATTTGTAAATTCCTGTCCTGCCTGCACTGTGCTTTGGAACTTTGGGTTTACTTCTGTTAAAGCAATTACCAAATTGTTGCATTGATCTATTTGCTTATTTATTTTTTAAATGTACATCCTCACTAAGAGATTTGAGTTCCTCAAAGTCAGAGAACTGTGTCTTTTAATAAATAAGCTATCAGTTTTTGAAAAATGAATGACTAAATCCATCAGTCAGAGTAAAGATTATAAAGACCCAAATATGAACCAAAACGGACATTATGGACATTATTGAAACTTTGCAGAGGGCTTAGTTGAGAGTCATAAAGGTAATTAAAGAGAAAGAAAACTAGATTTGTGGAAAAAAATGTTAAAAGAAAAGGAGTCATGTTCTACAAAAGAAAATGTGTATGATTGCAGTATCATTTTCAACATGAAAAAAGATGTTCAGGAATCCTTTAGCATGAAGGCTAATTTGGAGGAAACGAAAGGGAGGTGACATGGGATATTAGTAGATAATGCGTGGGGCGATCAACCTCTCTTTCCTTTATAGGCAGTTAGCACTACCTCCTGCTAACCTGTCTTCTAGCTCTCTTTTTTTTTATTCATTTTGTTATCATTAATCTACAATTACATGAAGAACATTATGTTTAATAGACTTCCCCCTTCACCAAGTCCCCCCCACAAGTCGCATTATAGCCACTGTCCATCAGCGTAGTAAGATTCTGTAGAATCACTACTTGTCTTCTCTGTGTTGCACAGCCCTCCCCATGCCCCCCTCCCCACATCATACATGCCAATCGTAAGGTCCCCTTTCGTTTTCCCTGTCCTTACCCCCCCCTTCCCACCCATCCTTCCCAGTCCCTTTCCCTTTGGTAACTGTTAGTCCATTCTTGGGTTCTGTGATTCTGCTGCTGTTTTGTTCCTTCAGTTTTTCTTTGTTCTTATACTCCACATATGAGTGAAATCATTTGGTATATGTATTACATCTCCTTTATCCATTCATCTACTGATGGACAGTTAGGTTGCTTCCATTTCTTGGCTATTGTGAATAGTGCTGTGATAAACATAGGGGTGCATCTGTCTTTTTCAAACTGGGCTGCTGCATTCTTAGGGTAAATTCCTGGAAGTGGAATTACTGGGTCAAATGGTATTTCTATTTTGAGCTTTTTGAGGAACCTCCATACTGCTTTCCACAATGGTTGAACTAATTTACATTCCCACCAGCAGTGTAGGAGGGTTCCCCTTTCTCCACAACCTCACCAACATTTGTTGTTATTTGTCTTTTGGATGGTAGCCAGCCTTACTGGTGTGAGGTGATATCTCATTGTGGTTTTAATTTCCATTTCTCTGATGAGTAGTGATGTGGAGCATCTTTTCATGTGTCTGTTGGCCATCTGAATTTCTTCTTCGGAGAACTGTCTTGTTCAGCTCCTCTGCCTATTTTTTAATTGGATTATTTGCTTTTTGTTTGTTGAGGTGTGTGAGCTCTTTATATATTTTGGATGTCAACCCTTTATCGGATCTGTCATTTATGAATATATTCCCCCACACTGTAGGGTACCTTTTTGTTCTATTGATGGTGTCCTTTGCTGTACAGAAGCTTTTCAGCTTAATATAGTCCCACTTGTTCATTTTTGTTTTGGTTCCCTTGCCCGGGGAGATATGTTCATGAAAAAGTTGCTCATGTTTATGTCCAAGAGATTTTTGCCTATGTTTTTTTCTAAGAGTTTTGTGGTTTCATGACTTACATTCAGGTCTTTGATCCATTTCAAATTTACTTTTGTGTATGGGGTTAGACAGTGATCCAGTTTCATTCTCTTACATGTAGCTGTCCACTTTTGCCAGCACCATCTGTTGAAGACACTGTCATTTCCCCATTGTATGTCCATGGCTCCTTTATCATATATTAATTGATCATATATGTTTGGGTTAATGTCTGGAGTCTCTATTCTGTTCCACTGGTCTGTGGCTCTGTTCTTGTGCCAGTACCAAACTGTCTTGATTACTGTGGCTTTATAGTAGAGTTTGAAGTTGGGAAGCGAGATCCCCCCCGCTCCCACTTTATTCTTCCTTCTCAGGATTGCTTTGGCTATTCGGGGTCTTTTGTGTTTCCATATGAATTTTAGAACTATTTGTTCCAGTTCATTGAAGAATGTTGTTGGTAATTTGATAGGGATTGCATCAAATCTGTATATTTCTTTGGGCAGGATGGCCATTTTGACGATATTAATTCTTCCTAGCCAAGAGCATGGGATGAGTTTCCATTTGTTAGTGTCCTCTTTAATTTCTCTTAAGAGTGTCTTATAGTTTTCAGGGTATAGGTCTTTCACTT